GTTTTGGGCTTTTCAAACTGGAGGCAGTAACCCACAGAGAGAGCATGTATACCAGGGATCATGAGGGCATAAGAGTGCCAGGCTTGTTGGCAAACAACTAGGGCTGGGACCTACTGAGCACTTGCCCTGTGCTGTGTTAGCTGCTTGAGACCTATTGTGAGTGGAACCCTGACTTCACCACCGCTGCTATCAAGGAAGGTGGCACCCATTTTGCAGATCAGGAAACCAAGGGCAGAGAGGTGAAGTCTTCTACCCGACATCACAGGCCAGGAAGGGACAGGGTCAGGATTTGAACTCAGCCAGCCTGCCTGCAGCCCAGGGTGTTCGCCATGAGACCTTCTGGCCAGGAGCCGGTGGGACGCTGGGCTTTGGGTCAAGATGTGTTTCGGCGAGGGCAGTTCATGGAAGGCTTGGCACCAGAGCTCCAAGGTCAACGTGGAACCCAGGGGAGCTCTGTCAGGGGCAGCAGCCTGGTGCATGCATTGGCTAAACTGATGCCAAGAAAGGGGCTCCCTGGGGTAATGAGTCAACCGAGGCAGAGGTCAGTTTAAGCAGCAGTGGTGACTCTGCTGAGAAGTTCTCAGAAGTGGGAGGAGGAGAAACTGGCAGCTTGTGGGGGAAAATGAGAGAGGCAGCGAGATGCTCAGGGGGAGATAAGGAGGATCTACGCAAATATTTCGACCCGGGGGTGGGGGCGGGGAGGAGGGGAGCCCAGTGGTGTTTATGCCCAGACCTCAGCGCAGGAGCTAATGGGAAAATACGTCACCCTGGGCTGTGGGGCGCGGGTGGGGAGGAGTCAGATGGAAAAGATAGGGCTATCAGAAGGCAGGGCTAATGGAACCACACGGGAGACATTAAAAGGCAATAAATCTGGCAGCCTGGATGGTATTTAGCCAGGAATTCTGCCAGCGTGGTTAACTCTTGGCGGCCTGCTCACCTGGGCTGAGCCTGGGTGGGGTCCCAAGGGCTTGCCACGCGGGTGCGGGGCCATCCCGAGCTGAGCCTTAGGCGGAGCTCGGGGGAGACGTGTATGGAGCCTGGGAGCGCCCAGGGCGTCTGCAAGACAGAAGGGAGCCCCAAATGGAGGCAGGTGGGGGGGCAGAGGACTCCATCCCCTCAGTCGCTGGGGAGCATTCTCTGGAAGAGTTAACCAGCCCGTGGGGAAAGGAGAACCACAGGATATAATTTATTTACCTCCTCCCTGACAAAATCCTTCCCAGAAGGCTGTGGATGGTAATTCTCTGTAATTATATCTCATGCGAGGTCCTGCAGGCGCTCAGGTTAACTCGTTGGTGCGCGACACCTGGGGGAAGGTGGGGACAGGCGGGAGGGGATGACCAGCTCCACCGGCCAGGTGGGAACAGGCGCCTCCGATGGGTGGAGGAGGGTCGCACCTGTGATTTCCTGACCATTGAGTGTTTTGGTTTTTTTTTGAAGATTTATTTATTTATGCATCTAGGAACTGGGGTACAAGCCAGAGGTGCAGGGGGTGAGAGGATTCACCAGAGACAGAGTGGGGAACAGAACAGTTGGATTTTACTAAAATACACTGCTGAGGGGAGCAGCGGGGAGACAGGAGGGGTCTGCTTTGTCATGTGGGTAGCTCCCTGGCTGGGGTCAAACTCGTGCTGCAGTGGCTGCAGATAGCTTCACAGTGCTGTACTTAACCCCTTGCGTTAAGGGAGGCTCAGCATTGAGTGTTTAAAGAGAGGACAGCAAGATACCAGATGTTGGGGGCCGGGGTCTGGGTTCCGTCTTTGGTCTTCCTGTGCTCATTGTGTGACCTCAAGAGGGTCACTCAGCCTCTCTGAGCTATGGTTCCCTGAGCTACCAAGGCAGAGAACTGGTGCACTGGGTGGTGTGGCTCCTGGCTCAAGAACCTGTTTGGAAATTTTATGTTACAGAGAAACGTGACACTCTGTTGTGTTGTGATGAGGGTAGATTCAGGTTAGACTGTGAGATGACCGTGTCACGTGAGGCCTCAGATGCGTGCCTCATGACCTGTGGGGGTGGAGAAGCTGGGGTTAGACTCCAGAGAATAAAAGCTGGCCACGAGGGTCATGTAGCCATATACCAGCCTTGGCAGCAGAGCACCTGCTGGTTGGAGGACAGGAAGTTAAAGAGGTGGATTTGGGGGTTGCTGCAGACCCCTTAGGTGTGCCCCGCATCGTGTTTGTGACGCCCCCATCAAGGGCTGGGGTCTAGAGCATCCCTGGTAGTGCAAGGGGTTAAGATGGATTGCAGTTAAGCAATCTGCTGCCATTGCAGTATGAGTTCAATCCCCCGGCCAGGGAGCTGACCCACAGGGCGCAACAGGCCTCTCCTGACTCGCCTGCTGCTCCCCTCAGCAGTGTATTTCAGTAGATCTGCCTGTTCTGCTCCCCACTCTGTCTCTGGTGAATCCTCTCACCCTCCACACCTCTGGCCCACACCCTGGCTCTTGTATGCAAAAATAAATCTTAAAAAAAAGGGCTGGGGTCTGTTCCCCTCCTCTGGAACCCGAGCTGATCCCGGACTTGCTGTGATGCTGAGGCTGGACCTGGGGGCTCGCGAGTCTGACCCCACCTGCCGCGACCCGGGAGCCGTGGAGAGGAGCTCCCACGTGATGCCTCCCTCTTGAGAGACGTGTGAAGAGACAGGTCCCAGCCCTTGGCCTCGCTGTCAAGCCCCAGACCTGGAGGGAGGGGCGGCTGTCTCGGGGAACCTCACCCCTCAGCCAGGCCCTCCAGCGCAGGCCCACACCAGAAATACCTCCCCGCGGAGGTTTGGAGCTGTCGCATTTGGGGCAGTTTGTTCAAAACTGACAATGGATAATTGAGGCTTCTGCTTTCTTTATTTTTTAAGATTATTTATTTATGTATACAAGAGCTGGGGGACAGGCCAGAAATGCAGGGGGGTAGTGTGAGAGGATTCACCAGAGAGAGAGTGGGGAACAGAACAGGCAGATGCACTGAAATACACTGCTGAGGGGAGCAGCGGGGAGACAGGAGAGGTCTGCTGTGCCATGTGGGTAGCTCCCTGGCCGGGGATGGAACTCATGCTGCAGTGGCTGCAGATAGATTCATAGGTTGCGTCTTAATCCCTGCACCACCAGGGAGGCCCAGAGGTTCTGCTTTCTGAGAACCCTGATTTAGCGTGGTTTTGACCCAGATGCTGACGCCTTGGGCACCTGATGGGTTGGCAGGTGACAGTTGTAACTCAGGTCCTTTCACCCCTAGGGGTACCCTCTTCCCTCTTGGGGAGCCGTGGAGCCACCCTGCCCTGTCTGTGTGACAACTGCCACTTGCTTCTCTGGTCTCCCCTTCGGGTTAAGGGCGGGTGCGCAGGCGAAGGGAGGAGGACGGAGACGCACTGAGGCCCTGCAGGGGACCCCGCGTCCCGTGGTGGCCGCCCCCAACTTGGGTCGCCTTGCCCTTGACCCTCCTGCACGTCCTTCCATGGACAGATGAGCTCCCTGAAGTTCAGGAACATGAAACGGCATCCCGGAGGCCTCTGCGGGCTTGAGACAGAGTCGGGACTTAAACCAAGGCCTCCTGGGTGCAGGGGCAAGGCGTGGCCCAAGCCTGTGGACAGCAGTGGCCTCTGGGGTCATGTCAGACCTTCGGTTTCTTTGTTTAACCTTACTCGGAAACTGGTTTCGAGAGAGTTAGAAACCGGATCCTTTCTTTCTAGTTCTATGTCTGCCTTCAGATCAAGCTAGATTCTGGTGGGAGATGGACCACCCCCGACGCCTGAGCCCGGAGGAGTGCGCCGTTGGGGCTGCTGAGAGCACCAGCATGAAGGCAGCCCCAGGGAGGCTGGCAAGCAAGGGACCAGCACCCACGGAGCGTCAGGCAGCCCTCAGGACGGCAGGGGTCTGGAGCGGGGTGCGTGGAGCCTGTGAGTACAGGGACCATGCAGATGGGCCGCCCAATGTCAGGCCAGTCACGGAGGGTGACTTGCAGGAGAGGCAGGGAATAGATGCCCTGACGTGACCTCCCACGCCTGCCCCCTCCTCTGCGCCAGGGCCTCCCACATGGAGCCCAAGCAGGAGCCAGAGGGCTAGGGGCTGGGATGGGCAGCAGAGGTGGCCCCCTCCCTCCCCCCAGCGCCGGGCAGGAAAGGTGGGGTCTGGGTGCAGTGGGGGTGGAAAACAAAAGGCGCTTAACCCCCTGGCCTGTCCCCTGTCCTCTGAGCCTCTGGCTGGGAACGCATCCAGTGACCTTGAGACTGTTTTCTTCAAAGGAAGGAGACACTGGGTGCCTCTCAGTAGATGCACTGGGAGTTTCCTGGAACCGTGGCGGGTTCACCAAGCCCGGCCCTGCACCTAACACTCCCCGCCTGTCAGCGCCCAGATAGTCTCGAGTGCGCCCTGTCGCACTTGGAGAGGAATGTGACGTGTGTCTCCTGTCCACTCCCGGCCCCTTCCCTGGGCAGTCTGGTTTTCGAGGTAGTGTTTGTTCGCTCAAGTAGTCGACTCGACTGTTCGCCAGCTCCGTGACTTGGGAGCTGGGATGTGGCTGCTCTGGGTCTGTGTCTCCTCTGTGATGCAGAGGGGTTTTGGGAGATAGTGTGGGGAGCGCTGCTGCATCCTTTCAGCCATGTCCTGCTCCCCTTCTTCTCCTTCTGTCATGGGGGAAGACCCTGTGCATCTGAGAAAGCAGCAAGAAGAGCCGGCTGGATGGAGATGCTTTCACCAGGTTGGAAATCCACAAAACAAAAAGTCGCGGGATGTGTCCTCTGTGAGGGCCTCTCTCTCATCCACAGAGCCCAGGAGGCAGGTGTCCACGCCCTGCATTGCTGGTGAAGTGGAGGCTCTGAGAGGTCACTGTCCAAGGCCACCCACCCACGGAATGGTAGGGCCAAGCCTGGCCATGCCCAGTGCCCCTGCCCTGGCTGCCTCCCATGGGCCCGGAAGGAAGGCCAGGCGAGGGAGGTCAGGACCTGCTCTCTGGATTTGAACTTGTCTGGCCTGACAGTCGCCACAGCACGCTCTGTGGACCACAGAGGGGTCCATGTCCTCACCCCCGGGACACGGGCCAGGACCCCACGTCACTGCTGCAAGGGGTGGCGTGACAGGAGGCGTCAGGAGTGGGCGCCAGAGGGAGCCGACCCGGGGTGCCGGGCAGAGGACGCGGCCCTGGGACTCCTCCTTGGTCTGAAACCATCTTTTGGAAACAGCGTCCTTCTTCTTCATGTATTCATTTCAAGATAGTGCTTGTTCGCTCAAGTAGCCGACATGACTGTTCACCAGCTGCGGGACTTGGGAGCTGGGATGTGACTTGGGAGCTCAGTTTGCTGGGAACGCAGTCAGCTCGTGACGAGCATCGTTTGAATTCTACTTTTTTTGGTTCCAAAAATGATATAACACTGAACCTTATGAAATAGCTGAGATGCAACTTAGAAGTTTGTAAGGTTTCGACGTACTAAATACGGCAGCTCCTTCCCAGTCAGTCCGGGTTCCCTGTGGAGGACACAGGACAGGCATCTACCGGGGGGTCACAGTGTCGCTGCCTGAGCCCCGGCGGCAAGTGCGCCAGAACAGTGGCCTGGGCGCAGGGAGAGGCCCCGCAGGGACCTCTGTCGGGTTTACAGCGGGCTCTCTCTGCTGCCCCACACAACCTTTCTCTCCTCCGCTCTCACACACAAGTGTTCAGTCTGGGTCCACCCTCCTGTTCCTTTCTTCCTTCCCTCGACCCCCAGGAAGCTGCCTCCCAAGCAGGCCAGCTCCTGCTTGCGTAGCCGTGGCCGCCTGGTCTACCTGTCTTATAGGTATGAACATCTCCACTCCGAGGGCAACCTTATAAGGGAGGCGTGGTCATGAGCCCATTTTACAGACGGGGAAAGTGAGGCCGTGGGAGCTCATGTCATTTCCCTGGAGTCATCCATGCTAGTCGGTGGCCGAGCTGGCTGTTGAGCCCTGTGCTCTTGGCCACTCTGCGGCCCTTGGCCAGACTGATGAGTCTGGCGGGGACCTCAGCATGAGGATCCGTGGGCTCCAGCTCGTAGACTTGCGTATCTCAGACCAGGGCTTCCTCCCGTTCTTGCTGTCTCTTGGGTAACCTCCATATCTGCAGCCTCTTTCCTCGGGGCTGAAGTGACAGCTGAGACCTGCCTTGTGACATCACAGGAATCTGAGTGCTCGGGCTCTGCGGTCGGCGTGGTGACAGTGATTACTGGGCTCCTCGCCTGACGGGGAGGATGAAGACAGTGATGGGGAAGACTGGGCTCAGTGGTGGGCTCAGTGGCCTGGAGCTCAGTGGCGTGAAGGTTACGGGGGACCTCAGGCATTGCTCCGTCGTGTTGTGTGGCTAGGACTCCCATACAAGCCCTAGGATTTAGGGGTACCTGGTGGGACTTTGCAGGTGGGGGACAGATGGAGGAGCTGAGATTTCAGAGCACCGGGCACCCTGGCGGTGCATCCACCCATTTCACAGATGAGGAGACTGAGGCCCAGAGAAGGTCACTGGCTCAAGGTCACTGGGTCAGTTAGAGGTGGAACTGGGCTCAACCCTTCTCTGAGGCAGAGCTCATTTCTTCCTCTCTGTAGTATCACTTTCCTGGATATGCAAATGTGTTGTCATAGTTCTAGAATGTTCCTTTTTGAAGAATAATTTATGGATCATAAAATTTAGTTTTCTTAGTGTACAACTTGATGAGTCTGACCAAAGCACGTAGTCAGGTCTCCACTGCTTGGGTCAAGATCTGGAACATTTCTGCCAGTTCCCCAAATTCCCTAGGGCTTCATTTAAGTCAGTTTCTACCTACCTTGGACTTCCCCCCAACCCCCAGAAGTTACCGTAACATCATAAATGGAATCATACCCTATGTAAACTTGTGAGTCTGTCTTCCTCCCCACGGCCTCAGATGCCTTTGAGTATCTCCAGTCTAAAAGAAAACAAAATAACATATGAATTATTTCCTGTCTGCCCACACCCCCTTTTCGCTAGCACCTTGTTATTTTGCTCCTCTTCAGGCTGGCATTTCTTAAGTTTTCTGGACACGCTGTCTTTACTGCCTTAGTCTCCTTCCCTCCTCCACATTCTGGAACTTCGTCCCTGGTCCCATCCAGCCTCTGACATGGATATCTGGGGTCTCCACGACATGCTTGGAGCCGAGGGGGCACCTTCCAGCCCTGTGATTGGTCACCTTGGATTCTTCACTCTGGGCTCATTGCCATCACAGGCTCATTGTCCTCCTAGATTTCCCAACAGTGGCCTTTCCTGATCTGCTCACTCTTCTGTTCTTTGTGTCCATAGTAGATGCTCCCTGCAGTTGTACAATTTCTAAGGACAGCTGTTGCTGAATTCACCTTTCCTGACTCATCTCCTGAGCTTTGAAATTAAGTCAACTGCCCACTATCTGCTCCACATGAGATTTCAGATATCCAGAGTAAAACCTAAGTTCTTCCCTTTGGAGACTTTCAAAGAAGACCACATTCCATGCACAGCCCGGCCCCAATCCTGGCTCCTCCCGCTCTCCTGCCATTACACTGGAATCCCAACCCAACCCTAAATCCCACTTTCCTTCAGACTGTCCCCTCCACACCTCTGCTCTCCAGCGTCACAGCCACCCCGTCACTCCGCTGGAGACAGTCGTGGCTTCCTTGTGGTTTCCTGGTCTCTCCCTTTCTTCCATCCATTCTCACGACCCCCACCCCCTAGAAATCTGGAGACCGAAAAGTCCAGGCATGACTTTTCCCTTTTTCCCTATACAAACCTCCTTGCTACCTTCCCAGTCCACTTCAAGGACAATCCAAAACCCACGACCTGCCGGGACCTGCAGCGTTTTCCAAATGGCCTTTCCCAAGTCCTTAGTCTGACTTATCTGCTTCTCTTTCCCACAGGTGACTGTGTTAGCCACGCTGGTGTTTTAATGCTGGCCTTGTATCAGTCAGCTCCTGCTGCGTAACCAGTTATCCCAAATACAAGGCTCTGGGGTACCACCATAGCCACAATAACCCTTTCTTATCTCACACAGTCCTGTGGGTCAGTCACTGGGGGCAGTGGGGGGGGCAGCTTAGCTGCACAGATCGGGCTCCATGTCCCATGAGGTGCAGCCGCCATGGGGTGGGGCTGCTGGCAGGCAGCTACAGGCTTGACTAGGCTGGAGGTCCAGGCCATTGCAAGATGGCAGGGTTCTCAAGGGTGTTGGTGTGGCCGGAGGCTTCCGTGTCCTCTCTGGGATCTCTCTGGGCTTGCTTGGGTGTCTTCACCAGAGTGTGCTGTGTGAACCAGAAAGCACATGGGACGGATACCAGGAGCACCACCCCGGTGCCCTCTTTGTCTCTTCCCTGTCCCTTAAACCTCAGCCTTAGAGCTCATCTTCTGAAACAGACCTCCCAAAACGCTCAAGTCTTTCTTCTTCTTCTTTTTTTTAAAGATTTATTTATTTATTTATACAAGCACTGGGTACAGTCAGAAGCGCGGGAGGGTGAGAGAATCAACCAGAGCCAGAGCGGGGAGCAGAGCAGGCACACTGACGAAGTACACTGCTGAGGGGAGCAGCAGGCAGCAGGAGAGGTCTGCGCGCCATGTGGGACCCTCGCCGGTGGCCGGGGATCGAACCGGTGCTGCAGAGGCTGCTAGCAGCTTCACAGCCCAGCGCTCAACAGCTGCGCCACTGGAGAGGCCCTCAAGTCTTTCTTCTGACAACAATTTACTGAACAGCTGTCAGGGGTAGGTTCCATCAGCTATTCTTTGTCTGGCCACTTCTTCCCACATCTGCCTTGGCCACTGTGGTTTAAGTCGCTGTTATCCTCACCCGGGGCTGCGGCAGTCACCTCTGAGCTGGCGTCCCCAACACCTGCCGTTCTGAACAGCAGCGCAGGGCCCCCCTGACAGCCCGAGCAAGATGGTATCCGCCTGCTCCCCACCCATGGCTCCCACCTCATTTAGATTGAGTACCAGTGTCCGAGCACTGGTCTGATGGGGTCTTGTGCCCTCTGACCTCCTTGTCTGCACCTCTCCCGCCTCGCTCCCTGCGCTTCCGCCACACTGGCCTTCCCACTAGTCCAGGAACCCGCAGGCATGTTTCCACCTCTGCCCTCTGACCCGCTTCCTCCAGGGGCTGTGTGAGTGGTTCCCGCACATCCTCCAGGCCTGGATCCCTGCACACGGAGACTGCTAGGCAGCCCCCCACCCTGCCTGCCTCCCTCTTGCTCCTCATCAGAGTGCTTCTCGCCTTTTAATGAGTCATTTAATTTCCTTTCTTAGGAGTTTAATTTTTTAAAAATTGTATTTCTCTTTACATTAAAATGCAAGCTGGGGGGCCAGCTTTGTGGATTTTGTGCCACCTCAGTGGCAAAGGCAGATGTGGGAAGAAGTGGTCAGGAGGAGCTGCTGGACGCCTGCCCCTGGGGTGGCTCAGTAAATAGTTGTCAGAAGAAAGACTTGAGCCAATTTGGAAGGTCTGTTTGAGGAGCTGAACTCTAAAGCTGAGGTTTAAGGGCAAGTGGGCTTTTCAACCTAGACGGGGAAGAAAGGAACATGTCGACTCCTCTCCCTGCAGTTCGGGGCTCTTACCATCACACCCCACACTTGTCTGAGCGCTGCTTCCTGTGTCTGCTCAGCGGGGATGGAGCCCCTCACCTCCACACGCCCCCTCAGCTCCATGTCAGAGGGTTTTCCCGAAGGCCACATGCAATCCTGGCTGGAAGCACAAGTGTAATGCCAGAGACAAGGAGAAGGCTGGCTGGGATTCCCCCCTTCATCTTCAACCCCGCCCCCCCCCTTCCTCAGCTTGGGGGGCACCTCCCTTTGCTTCCCTTTTGTGCTTCTCAGTTTTTCCTCCTGGCTGGTTTTCATCTCCTTGGCCAAAGCTTCCCCCTTCCCACCCAGGGATACTGTGTGGCTGCTTCATCATTTATAGTGGCAGCCGAATAATTGAATTGTTATTGGTTTGGAAGGGGTAAGGAAAGGGGGGGGTGATTTTTGCTAAATTGTTTCTCTTTGGATAATGTTCATCTCCTGCTGGGTTGTGATTTATTTCTGCTGTTGGCAGTCTTGCTTTCTGGAAATTAATTCTTTGATTGGAATGGAAGGGGGAGTTGATAGTGGCAGGGAGTGTGTCATGTGGGGCTCCTTCTGGACATGAGATCCAGATGGAGCGTGGGTTGGACTTTCTCAAGGTGTGGCTGGAAGGAGCAAGTGATCTGGTCTCTGAGAATTTCAGGCTGCCCGGAGCATCCCCACTCCGGCCTCGAGTCCAGTGGATCTGAGTGCCTGGTCATCTGCTGCTGGCATGAGCATGTTTGCTCAAGTGGCATCACTTGCTGGGTGTATGGTCTATCCACATTGTGCAGACAGGGAAACTGAAGCTCAGAACAGTCAGTCTGTTGCCCCTAACAAGCAGCTGCAAACTTAGAGACCTAAAGACAAGTAGGATACTATGTTCACGAATCCCATGGGCCAGGACTATGAACAGGGCAACAGCAGGGGTGGCCTGTGTCTGTTCTGTCTCTGAGGCCTCCTTTTAGAAGATTTGAATGGCCTGGAGTGAGTGGGGACAGTTGGGGTTTGGAGGCTGGTTCACTCCCATGTCAGGCACTGGATCTGGATGACTCAAAGGCTCAGCAGAGCCGGGACAGCTGATTAGAACAACATCCCACACACTCTGCCTTCAGCTGGAGCTTCCTCACATCATGGCAGCTGGGTTCCAAGGAGATCAACATTGGAGAACAAGTAGAATCACATGAAAGAGAATCACATGAAAGCTGAAAGTTCTCTTCTGACCTAGGCTTGGAGTCAGGCAGCATCACTTGCTGGAATAGAATCCAAGGATAAAATCTTTCCAGTGGGGGAAGAGCTAGAAAACTTCTGAAGGAAAGCCCCCTCCACTCCCACAAACCCTACCAAAGATATTTATTGAAGAGACTGCCCCAGGGTGTTCCAGTCAAGGTCACTCTGTGGGACAGAACAGGTATATTCATTATAATTTAAAAAATTTTTGGAAGCAAGGAGTAAATGCTAAATCAATGACTTCAAGTTATAGACAATTTTCCCCATATAAAGAGTTCAGAAGGAAGGAGAGTTATTTAAGATCATGACTCAAAAAAAGTCATCTGTGATACTGGTTCATTCTGTCTTTTCCTTCCCCCAGCCCCAGCACATCCAAACAATTCTTAGGTTACCTTTCCTCACAGTCACAATATGGCTGCTGCAGCTCCAGTCATCACATCCTGATACAACAAAATGTAGCAGGAAAAAAGGGATATTTTCTTCCTTTTGGGCTATTTATTTATTATATATTTTACATCATTTTTCCTTTTTTTTTTTTTTTAAACAATGCATGCTTTCTCCTCTCGGGTGTATTCCCCATGAAATTCCCACCACCCATTCACCCCTGCACTGTCACCATAGTCCCTTGTGCCCTTCTCTCCCCTGTTTTGATCCTTCTCCTGCCCTACTTTTGGGCTTTTTTAATGACAAGGAAATCTCTAAAACTTGCCCCCCTATTCCCTTTTCTCCCTGTTGAACAGTTCTGACATTGGCTGTTTCCTAAGGAGACCATAGCAAGGGGAATGGATTCCCACGAGAAGAACAAGGCCTTTACTGGCAAGGAAAATGAGAAGCCAAGCACAGCAGGAAACCCATGAGATAGAGGGTAACACTTGACTAGAGAGCGCTCCAGATGGAGAAGCTGACAGTTTCAGGTCAGCCTCTAGCCTTTCCGGCCAGAAGTCTACATCATGGGCCTAAGTACATTTCCCTGGCTATGAAATAATAGCAGGACTCATTGTGTCCCAGGTGCTGTTATGAGCCTGAATTCACTCACTTGATCTGCAGCGATCCTGTGCAATGGGGGCTATCATTACCCCCATTTTATAGATGAGGAAACTGAGACCTGGAGAATTAAGTCACCAAGCTCAGCTAGTTGGTGGCAGCGCCAGTGATGGTAAGGGTTGGGATCATGTGCTGATGGCGCATGGAATTCTTCAGCCTGATGATGATGTGGTTTCATGCCAGGGCTGAGCGTGTTCTGTGACTGGCCGAGACCTGAGACGTCCTAGCAAGGGGTGTGGGTCTCAGGCAGGGCCAGCCTCTCTTGAGGGTGCAGAGCTGGTCCCTGGGAGGGGAGAATGAAGGGGTGAGGCTGTTTTTCTCTTCCAGTTCCCTCCCCTAATGCCCAAGCAGAGCAAAGGGCTGAGGGGTGGTTTCCTGCCCTGCGTCATCCCCAGGCAGGGACATCTCGTGTCCTGGTTGGCCAAGAGGGCCACACACAGACACAGACAGACAGAAGTCTCCTGGAGCGGATGGTTAATTGTCTCCAGGCCAGGGAGACCTGCAGAATTAGGGCTTTCCGGACTGAAGCAGGGCACCTGGGAGGCAGAGACCCTGCCTCCAGCCACCCCCCTCACCCCTCAGCCACTCTCATTTCCTTGCCAGTTCTCCAGAAATCCAGGTCACTTTCAAAGCCTGGGGCTGCAGGCAGCTCGAGCATGGGGTCGCTTCCGGGGTCACTGGCTGGACAAGCAGGTCAATTTTAGCAGGAAACCTCGATAAGTGGTGCTGGCGGAGGCAGGAATCTGAATAGGGGGCGGCAGGAGCCCAATCCTTCCACTGGATTTTATACCTGGGGAGGCTGGTCCTCCAGAAAGGAATATTTATTAAACACACACTTGCTAAAGAAACGCAGATCCCTGCCAGGCGCGGGGGAGGCACACCCGAGGAGCTCTCCCTTGCAGTCCTCATGGCCCCAAGAAGGCAGGTTTTTTTTTTTTTTTAAACCAATTCCCACTTCATCGATCCTATTTATAGATGAG